ATGGCGAGAATAGTGGACGGCGAGAATAGTGGACGGCGAGAACAGTGGATGGCGAGAAGAGTGGATGGCGAGAAGAGTGGATGGCGAGAAGAGTGGGGCGAGCAGAGTGGATGGCGAGAAGAGTGGATGGCAAGAAGAGTGGATGGCGAGAAGAGTAGATGGCAAGAAGAGTGGATGGCGAGCAGACTGGATGGCAAGAAGAGTGGGCGCAGCCTTGATGGCGATAAGAGTGGATGGCAAGAAGAGTGGTTGACAGCCTTGATGGCGAGAACAGCGGATGGCGAAAAGAGTGGATGGCGAGAAGAGTGGATGGCGAGAATAGCGGATGGCGGGAAGAGTAGATGGCGAGAAGAGTGGATGGCGATCATGGCGGGAACAGTGGATGGCGAGAAGATTGGATGGCGAAAAAGGTGGTCGACAACCTTGCTGGCGGGGAAGTGGGCGGAAGTCTTGATGGCGAGAAGAGTGGATGGTGAGAAGAGAAGGTTGGGAGCCTTGATGGCGGGAAGGGTGCGGTTGAAAGATGTTTGGTGCGGTGTCGCGTTGAAGTCCGACCATCGGATGGCGGGGGTGTCGCGTTGGAGCCCGACCATCGGGTAGTTGTTGTGCCGCGTTGGAGCCTGACCATCAGATGGTGGGGTGTCGGGTTGAAGCCCGACCATCGAATGGTGGGGTGCCGCGTTGAAGCTTGACCATCGGATGGTGGGGTGTAGCGTTGAAGCCCGACCATCGGATGGTGGGGTGTCCCTCGAAGCCTGACCATCGGATGGTGGGGTGCCGCGTCGAAGCCTGACCATCGGATGGTGGGGTGTCGCGTCGAAGCCCGGCCATCGAATGGTGGGGTGTCGCGTCGAAGCCCGACCATCGAATTGTGAGGTGCCGCGTTGAAACCTGACCATCGGATGGTGGGGTGTCGCGTTGAAGCTCGACCATCGGATAGTTGGGTGGTCGGATGGCAGGATGGTCGGATGGCAAGATGGCAAGATAGGAGGATGGCAAGATCGGAGGATGGGAGGATGAGAGGATGGTCGGATGGTTGGGTGGCGGGGTGGCAAGATGGTCGGATGCTAGGATGGCAGGATGCGAGGGTGGCAGAAAGGGAGGATGGTAGGGTGGTCAGGTGCCAAGACGGCAGGATGCGAGGATGGCAGGAAGGGAGGATGGCAGGACTGCAGGATGGTCGGGCACTCGGATGGCAGGACGGTGGGGTGGTCGGATGGCAACATGGTCGGTTGGTCCGGTGGCGGGATGGCAGGAAAGTTGGATGATCAGGTGGTCGGAAGATGGGATGGGAGGATGGGAGGATGGTCGGGTGGTCGGATGGCGGAATGGCAGGATAAGAGGATGGCAAGATGGCAAGATCGGAGGATGGCAAAATCGAAGGATGGTCGGGCGGCAGGATGGCAGGATGGCAGGATCGGAGGAAGGGAGGATGAGAGGATGGTCGGATGGTCGGGTGGTCGGGTGGCAGGATGGTCGGATGGGAGGATCGGAGGATGGGGGGATGGCAGGATGGGAGGATGTGATGATGGGAGGATGGTCGGGTGGTGGGATGGGAGGATGGTTGGATGGTCGGTCGTGGGACGGCAGGACGACACGACGGTCGGGTGGTGGGATGGGAGGATGGTCGGATGGTCGGGTGGTGGGATGGCAGGATGGGAGGGTGGCAGGATGGCGGAATGGCAAGATCGGAGGATGGTAGGGCAGCAGGATGGCAGGATGGCAGGGTTGCAGGATGGCAGGATGGGAGGATGGGAAGATGGGAGGATGGGA